TATGGAAGGGAAATTGGTTAAGTAAATTATGATCCAAACCTAGAATATGTAGACATGTATTAACTATTCAGCATCTTTTTATTATCTAAAGTTTTTCACCACATGTTGAATGGGACAAAATCAGATTCTTGAATACTTAGATGGTAAGATTCCCATCTGTGTAAAATACTTTTATGCCTAGAAAGATTTTGAACAGCAATTATACCTTAGAATTTCTTCGCTCCTTCTTGACTTTTTTTTTACTTCATTCTTTTTTTTTTGTTCTTAATTTGTTTCAAAAAGCCAACCTGTGTAATTTTTTTGAGAAAATTATAAAATCTTCTTAAAAGATTATGCATTTTACAAATCACATTTTTGTGCTAAAGACTTGAATTTTAAGTTATATACCCTTCCCCATCATTACTTTTTAAAACTTCAGAACCATCTACTGAAAGCATAAAGAAATTCATCATTATGGTTATTATATCCACCAGGTGTGAACACTGTTCAACTACTGTCACAGAACTGTATTGTGTACCTTAAGTTTAGAGTGCTTTTTACATGGAGATATGCCAACTGTTAGGACTTTGAGGGCACACCAAAGCTCATGTACAGGTCAAAGTGGTTCTGTGTTCTGATTGTGGGATAATTACTTTGGGTTTACATAATCTCACTTCTCCTTTCCCACCTCATTTTGGGGGAGAATAATAATAACAGCAATTTCCAACATCCACAGTAGCAGTTAGAAACTTTTTATTTGAGTTTATTGTGAATTAGAAACTGTTCTAAACACACTGGATGTATTGTTTTGTTTTTTTAAAAATTTTATTATTTGTGTGTGTGTGTGTACCATCAAATAAGATCTGACTGGTACAGGAGGAGATTGTCCCTCCTTCTCCAGCAGAACATCTGGTGGATTAGAACCTCACACCTCTGGGATTGCAGTGCAGCTTCTTGCCACTAAACCACCAGAGCTCACCTGTATGTGTTGTTTTAATTTAATACAATAACTTTAGGGAGTCATAAAAATACTATTACATTTTACAGATGAAGAACCAGAGGTTCAGAGAGATTAAATAACCTGTCTAAGGCCATATAAATAACAGAATTGTAAAACAATATCTGGTTGACTTTCCTTATAAATATAATTTCAGTTGAGAAATTGTGGTACATTCACATAATGAAATACTAAGCAGCACCTAGGAGCAACAATTTTAAAAAAATATTGGAGAGGCTAGAGACCATTATGCTGAGTGAACTAACTCAGTCACATAATGATGCATATTGCATAAGATCATTATTGTAAATCTAGAAGGGTAGCTAGTAAGATGTGTATAAATGTCCAAAAGAGGAAGAGAAGGGGGCAGGGAGTCAGGGGCAAGAGGGGGACATCACAGAGTTGTAGAGTTTGGTGGGCAGAGGGAGGGGGTAAAGGAATTAGGAAAGATTCAGTGGGAACCTGAAAAGATGGGGTGATAGTAGGCATAACTTTATGGCTGGTTTTATAGAAATGCAAGGATTGTATGAAACACAATGTAAATGAAAGAATGTGTGAAACATAATGTATGTGAATGAAACACACTGTGTATGAATTTTTTATGCAAACCATATGCAGTGTAAAATTTAAAATATTTTCTAAAAACTGATGCCTTTGATCTGTGGTGATGGAGAAGAAAGAATACTGGGTGCCGAGGCTTTGCCTCACATACTTTGGGTATGTTGCTAGGAGGGACTATTCCTTGGGGAAGGACATGATGCTGGGAAAGGTGGAAGGTCAACAAAGGAGAGGAAGACCTTCAACCAGGTGGATTGACATGGTGACTGCTGCGATGATGGGCTCTTGTATGTCAGGAAGTGTGAGGACGGCACAGGATAGGACAAGGTTAGATCCTTTGTTCATAGTGTCGCTATTGTACTGACTCAACAGCACCTAACAACAACATGTAATATAAAACTATTTTAAAAATTTAAAAAGTGAATTCCAAATCCTTCTTCCTTGCTTCCCCTGTCCTCCCACCCCCAAACTGTTATTTTCACCAGAAATCCCACAAAAGCTGGTCCAACTGCTGAGAGACTTTTTCCACAGAGAACACTCTGTAGAATAATCTCTTTGCTTAGTCATCTAATATTGAAGCTCTTAGAGTTTTTATATACCACTTCTTTGACATTCTTTTCCCTGAAATGTTTATATTTTCTGCTCCTTGAAGTGGAAATGCACTGGGGAGGGGGGAGAAAATAAACCTTTCCAGTGTTTCAACTTTATCCCGAGATGTGTCAGTAGAGTCCTTATTACTAAAGCAGAGCACATTTGTGGGTCTTTCCCAGGATGGCATGATGGTCTCATCCTCAGAAGTGGAGGCTACCTGGTACCACCTGATCTTTGGCTCTGACCACTTCAGGAAAGCATTGTTTTTCTAAATCTATAGTTTATTCAGAGCCCTCATGGTCTCTTTACTTGGTTGCTAACTAAAAGGTCAATAGTTGTAACCCATCAGTATCTTTATGAAGAAAAGATGTGGCCATTTGTTCCGTGCAAATTTGAAGCCTTGAAAATGCTTTATATAAATAAGGTCACTGTGAGACAGAATTGTCAATAGGTTTTTTAGTTGGTTGTTTTGTTGTTTTTTTGGTTTTTGTTTTGTTTTGTTTGTTTTTAGTTTAAACAGTACATCACTAAAAATTATGAAAGGTATGTGTCAAGGCTATATAGCCTTTCTCCTTACCTATTCAATCTGTATGCTGAGCAAATCATCTGAGAAGCTGAAGTCTATGAAGAAGAATGTGGCACCAAGATTGTAGGAAGACTCATTAATAACCTGACTTATGTAGATGATACAACTTTGCTTACTAAAGTGAGGAAGACTTAAAATTCTTGCTCCAGAATATTAATGACTACAGCCTTCAATATGGATTATATTTCAACCACAAAATGACAAAATCTTCATTACTAGGTTGATAAACAACACTATGATACATGGAGGAAAGATTGAAGTTGTCAGCAATTGCATCTTACTTGGATCCACAAACAACACCCTTGGTAACAGAAATCAAGAAATTAAAAGGCCTTATTGCTTTGCAAAAATCTGTTGTCAATGACCTCTCCAAAGTACTAAAGAGCAGTGATGTTGGTTTCAAGATGAAGTTGCACGTAATTCCAGCCATAGTCTTTTTGGTTACTTGCTATGCATCTGAAAATTAAACAACTAAGGATGACAGAAGAAGAATTGATGCCTTTGAGTTGTGCTGGTGAAGAGTAATGAATAGGATTATGGGTAACAAACAAAAAAATATGTCTTGGAGAAAGTACAACCATACCTTGTGCATGTTATTAGTAGAGGCTAGTCTTTAGAAAAAGATGTCATCTTGGATAGGTGGAGGGACAGCAAAAAAGAGAAAGACTCAACAATGAGATGATGGGGATGGGACAGATTAGGGAAGGGTGCAGACCCACCCACCGTTCATAAGGTTGCTGAGTCATAGTCGATTTGATAGTACATAACAACAGTTTTTTTGTTTTCTTTGGTGTAGTTGGTTCTGATTATCAAACTAATACATGTTTGTTGTGCAAACTTCAGAAAAAAAATATTGTAAAGAAAAAACGATAAAAAGGATTCATCTAGGGTAGATAGAAACTAGTTTCAAAATTGGTTTGTCTTCTCCTTAAGCAATTTCTATCCATGAAAACTTCCATTCATGCAGTGCAAATTAAATCTTGATTTACAGATGACAATTTTAATAAATTTCCATGGAATTTAGTGGGCAGGATTACTGTGGCATTTTAAGATTTGCCAAAATTGATGAAATTAAAATCAATCTCTCTCTCTTTCTCTCTCTCTCTTTCTCTTTCTCTTTTTTTCCCTTGTTGTTGTTTTGTACGGTCGAATTGGACCCAACTGGCACAGGCATAGATGGCCCCTCCTTCGCAAGAGGAGCATCTGGTAGATTCAAAATTAAAATTTCTTAATTGTCTGCTCCAGTGGTTTGGTTTAGTTTGTTTGATTTTTTTCCTTCTTTTCCATTTGGTGGTTGGGGCAGGGGTTGGTGGTTGCTTTTTTAATGAAGGAAATAATTGTGCATATTTAAAGCACCATTAGATAAAATATAAATAAATATAAAAATATAGAGATTTTTTTAAAAATATGGATTCAAACAACTAAAACCATTGGTTCTGTTCGCTCCTCCTACAAGAGGTGTTTTCCCCACTTATTTTTGACTAATGGACAGAATAAAAGGAGCCCTGGTGATGTCATATGTACATAGTGCTGATAACAAAACAGCAATTTGAATCTACCAGCTCTTCCTTGGGGGAAGGGGCAGTGTCTGTTGGTAGTCACACACAGAGAAACCCCATGGAGGGTGGTTATGAGCTGAAGTCACCTAGAAGACAGCGGAGTTTGTATTTGGAGTGTGTGTGTGCGTGTGCGCACGGAGGGGGGGGTGCACGCGTGCATGTGTGTAGCATGAACATGTAGCAGGTCTTCAAGCAGTGCTTATTGATTGATTAAATAAAAAGTTCATATTTACAAGATTACGATATCTTGCAAGTACTACCAAAACTTAAATTTTGTAGCTTAGTGGTAAAAAGCTGCACTGTCATCCCAAAGGTACATGGTTCAAACCCACCAGCTGCTCTTCTGGAGGAAAGATGGGCAATTCCCTACTGGGTGATTTATAAACTCTGAAAAGCTGCTGAAGGGTCAGCTATTCCAATTTGTTTTCAATTCCAAAGGTGGTTCCAATTCGATGATACACAGCAACAATTTATAATTTTGATTTTTTTTTTGTTGTGATTGAAATTTAATAACATATATTTAGAGTCATTTTCTATTTTCCCAGAGGGATAGAGTCTAAAACTCACCATTATAAAACAGCAGAAAGAGAAACCAATTGATATGAAATATAATAAGTAGTGTTAATTTTGACTCGAGTTGAAATATGTGGGTCTGGACATTAATTTTTTGAGCCATTTCTTATAAGAAGGATGTCCATAACCAGAAAGTCTGTCTACTTGTGTCTTCTAGGCGTCTGGCCATCAGAAGAGGTGTTAGCACACTACGCCCTCAAGCACAAGGATCTATTCAGGTACAGAACTGATTCTGAAATGATTGTTTCAGCCCTTTATGAATGTTATGTCTAAAAAGTCTAACGACTACATTCTTAAAATGAACATGTTTTTAAAAATAAAGAAAATGTAGGGCTGAAATAAAGGAAGAAATTTAGGGTGAAAACATGTTGCTTCTGAAGAAGAAATTTGAATTGCCTTTGGGTACTAATATTGCACAGCAAGCTTTTTGCCATATCTCAAAAGCTTTTGATTTTCACTCAAGGCATTTTATTTCTCTTTGATTTGGGGCAACAAAACTGAAGCTCCAATCAATCCTTACTGATTGTGAAGGTCAAAAGAAGGGGGAAAAAACAAAACAAAACTCAATAAAGATGTTCTTTAAACTTCCAGGAAAGTCACTAAGAATTTTCTTTACAAATAAATATTCACAGTTATTATTCAATGCCACTCTTAGTTTCAAAGGTATAGTTTGATGCCTACTCATTTCTAAAATGTAAATACAGTTAGCAGATTCATGCTATGGCAATAAACATTTTCACCTATTAGCATGTACTGTAGACCAAACCCATGGATAGGATTCAGGGAAAAAACCCCATTATTTTATCTGAAAATTCTAAAGATGTTTGTTAGACTCAGAAAATATGGTTTTTTCATTTTAATTATTATTATAAAAGTCATCCATTGTATACTTTCTGAACAGCCCATTATGATTCCAGATAAGCCATTAGGGATCACGGTGTGTGTTTTAACAATGCTTGTTTACAAGTTGGGTCAATAATATGTATTTTTTTAAGCTCTATGGGTCCATATTTATCAACTAGTCTATAATTGCTTTGAATAACTAAATACTCATTATGTGTGTTTCAAAATATGAATGTCTTTGCTTGGCTTATTCTCTTCCCTTCCCCTCCCCCCTTCCCTTCCCAGTCCTGCTTTTTTCCCCTCCTTCTGAGAGAATAAACTTCCCAAACTGGGAATAAGAAACCATCTTCAGAGTCTAAGCATAGAAAATAAGCACCGAGCGGTTTTGAATTTGGGCTGCAGAGCTGCCCTGGAAGCCTGGCATTTGCTCATCGCGCTGTGCTCAGGCTTGACTGGAGCTCCAGGCGGCAAGCGGTGGGCCAGGGTGAGACTGCCCCACGTTGAGGGCTGGGATTTAGGCACAAAGGGGAAGGTAAGCACAGAGTGCAGCTTCACCTCAGGGCTGCTTCACTCCCACCCTGAGGGGTGAAGTCAGAGCCCAGTCATCACTTCCGCCTGGGTTTGCTGGCTTTAAGCATATTATGCTCCTGCATTGTTTATTCACTGTGTTGCTTGGGGGTCAACTGTGATTTAAGTGTTAATTGCTAAATGCTCTTTGTTATTAATTGTTCTTTCTGGGGGGGGGGTCAGCTTTCAAAAATGTATAAGTTTGTTTTAGAATTTTAAAAGGGGGGAAATCAGGATTGCATTTATTTGTGTGTGTTGTATGTGATTATAAAATAGGTATATACACACTCACATATATTCTTCGTTTACTTGTCTAACTGTTTTTGAAGGAATGAATGTGGATTAACAGTGTTATCCTTTCCTAACAATTATCTTTCGCTACTCTAGCTAGTTTAGTTCTAAAAGACAGCGCCATTGACAAGAGGGAAAAAAGGAACCTTCTCAGATTTTTCAGCTCAGCGGTGGTAATGTTGCAGTGAACACTAATGAGGGGACCCCCACTGATTTGCCTGCTTTGTGACTTTTCTATTTCATAATTATTTTTAAAACGCAAAACGACATGAGGTAGCTTAGCCATGTCTCTACAACTTCCTGGTAGCGTTCTTACTGCAGATGGCAATTTGTTCTTGTAACATATATGTCTCTCTGACCATTTTCATCTAATTTGTATGGGTTCTATCATTTCTTTTCTCTCTTTCAGAGACCTTGCTGTGTGTGAGCTAGGGGGTGGCATGACATGCTTGGCTGGGCTCATGGTAGGTCTTTTCTCAATTCCAATCCCATTCAGAGGGAGGAACAAAAGGAAAATGTTCCAGGGCCTCCAACTGCTGGGTCAGAGAACCGTCAACAGCATCAGCTGCGGTCAAGCCGCTGGGTCTTGAGAGACCTTCTAGATTGACTTACTTTCGGATCATATTGATTTTATGGTTGCCTCGATGAGCAGAAACATTTTACCTCAGTGTAGTCAATATCGCTTGTTGTGACATTCCAGGCCCTGAACGGTCTTTCTTTGCCATTGCAAAAGCTTTCCCCCCCCCCTTTTTTTTTTTTTCAGATTATAGTCCCATTTGCTAAGATACAGGAATAGCCCAGCAAATCACAGTTGGAGCACCATGATATAGCTGCTAATGTTTTGCCTGCATTATTACACCAACAAACATGATCCAGAGCGCTCAGTAATTAGATTCTTTTGAATTAGATTGGCCATTCAGGAACGTCGTTCCCCATTCTCTGGGTTCTGAGTCATGTATTCAGGAGATATTATGTAGCAGCATAGTGCATTAGACAAGTTTTTATGTCTCTACAAATAAAAGCATATTGTTACACTGATTGGCATTTGACAAACCTGTCGCTCTTATACAATGTGTCGAGGTTACAGCCCAATGTGCGAGCATGTCAAAGCTCACAAAAAAATTACCCTCACAAAGCCATCTGCCTGCAATGCAAAGTTATATGAAGGGCATCAGGCAGTCAGACAGAAGCAAGCTGAAAGGCAGAGTGACAGCCTTGTATGATGGCTCTACTAGATAAACAGAAGCCCACAAATGAAAGCCTCTCAGAATACCATCATCCGCTGTCACAATGCAATTACCGAACAGAATGATAGCAAGATAGAGGCTCCCGCAAATGGAATGATAAAAGTATTGACTGATTTGATTGAATGATTAAAATAATGCAGACATAAAATGAAAAAAGATTGAAGATTGTTACAGAGAAATAGGTGAGGAAGCATGATACTGAAGGCTTGTCACTCCTGTCTTCACTTCCACACAGACAAGCATATTTGCTCATTGTTTGCTGTGCTCCTTTTTTTTTTTTCAGGTTGCTATTTCTGCAGATGTCAAAGAAGTTCTGTTAACTGATGGGAATGAAAAGGCCATCAGAAGTATCCTTATTCAGATAGAAAACGGGTTTGTTGTGTTCATGCCTTTTCCTGGCTGTGTAACAATTGATATAAAGATAACATAGGGTATTAAAAAAGAGTTTCTCCTCATCATAAGTAATTAAGAAGAAGTAGAATGATGATATATTAATATACACATTAACATACTAGAAATATATAATTTGTTGCATGAAACAATATATGTGTAGTTTAAAAAAATAATCAATTCTCATTTAAGGGGCCTATGTTTTATAGGCCCTGAGAAATATAAGAAGTATAATATGAGAAATATTTCTGTAATATTTTCCAAGCATTTCTTTTCACTTATTTTCAATGTAACTTGCTACTATAAAATAAATTGCTGAGATTTATTGTATTGGATAATGCTTGCAATAATTAACTTCCAGGCTTGTTTGCCACATAATCTGTTATGGGCATGATATCTACTATGCATTTTTGTACTGACTTTAATTGCCGAGGGGTTACCTACATCCCCTGAAAACAGTTACCAGTTTTTCATTATTTTAATTTTGAATTATGAAGCTACTCCTCCCCCTGCTTTACAGTTATAGCTTGAACTCCATATATTAGATTATGCTTTACTAATATGTACACAGAATTCATAAAAATTGAACTGTATTTTAAATGAGAAAGCAAACATAATTTATGGCTCCTTTAGCAACCAAGTTCATTTGTTTAGGGGGATAGTTAATAGCCATTAGAAATTGAAAGGGAAGTAGTAGATATTTGCATTGGATTTTTGTGTGTGTGCCTTATATTTACATTATGACCTAACTGGTCAACTTAGTTGAATTTTAATCCCCTAAAATGCCAAAACAGTTTTGATTTGTGTGGCATCTTGCATAAAATCTACTTTGGATTTTCTTTTTCTCACTTTTCTATATTATAATTTGAAAATAAAATTTGTAGCAGATCCTTCAGCCTGCTCTACCGGGAGAAAGGAGGTACAAGAAGCACAGCAGCTAATATTGTGCAGCACTTGCACGCTTCGCAGAGCCCCACCCAGATAATTGCCTGACAGACTTTAGAAAGGAAAAAAAAAAATCAGGAAGGAAAAACAGCCAATCACAAGCTTGGCCTTTCACACAAGGGAAAGGATCACAAAAGGTGCTTCCTTTTTTAAAATGCAGGATTTTAATCATGATCTGGAGACTGTCGCAAGTTTTTCAAAATATTCCTAAAGATGAGCTGATGTTGTTTCATTCACTCTGCTTTGTTCTGAGTTATTCTTGCACTGTATCATTTCACTGTCTCCTCCTCCACATGTCAAGAAAAAACAGCAAGAGGAAGTCAGGTATGCCAGCACAGCTCAAACTGATATCTAGGGGAGGGAAAAAAGGCAGGGTTATTGGACGAGAGACAGCCATTTCAGTCACCAAAACTTTCAGATTGGACCCAGTAGCCTAAGGTTTTCCTCAAGTCAGCAGGTGTTTTATTTAATAACATTAGAAACCCATTAGAACTTTGATCAAACTGTGGAAAGCATCTGTAGGTAGATTGTACATTTCATTGTACTAAAATGATTACTCCACTAAACTAGAGAGCTTCCAAAAAAGGGGGAGAGATGCTAATGTCATTAATTAATACACCTTTGCTTTAAACAGCAAAGAAGCGGTACCAGCCCTTGAAATCAGAGGAAATCTCAGATTCTGTATTCACTCTTGCCGGCCTTTCAAAGAAATGATTGGTACAGCCCCCTCCCAAGAAAATGGATTTTTAACATTTGGTCCTCAGAAGCTCAGCCCCGAGAGTGCTTTATTGTGCTGGTTTTACAATGGTTTTGATATAGCAGGGTGCCAAAGGGCAGGAGGGGAAGAACTTTACAATGTAGATAAAGCAGGTCCTTTCAGGATGCAGACCAAACTGCTAGTGCTTTTTATTTCACCTCTTAGGACTTTCATGATGGAGTTAGTTTTTAATCACACAATTGCTTTATGTTTGTGTGCCTTTTTTTCTGTCATAACTACATCTGATTTTTTTTTAATTAAGAGAAAAAAACATACATAAAGCCTTAAACATTGACAGTGGTTTTTGGGTTTGGTTTTTTTTTTTCTGCTTCCCTCATCTCTGTTACTCTTGACTTGCTAACAGAGCTTATAATTTGCATTTGTCATAATCTGTTTTAGTGAGTAAGGTTAATATGAATGGAGATCTTTTTCCCCCTATGTGTATGCCCACTTTCTGTAAGAATAATAAATTCCCTGATTCATACATTATTGATGCATATAGATAGAAACAAACTCATTTAAAAATTACTGTTTACAGCTTTCCCTTAAAATTATAGGAGACCTAAATTATACACCAATTGTAGGATATTATCCAAAAATTACTTTCTAAAAAGTAAAAGTGGATGTCAACCAACAAAAAAAAAAAGAGAGAGAGAGAGAGAAAGGAAAGAGGAAAAACACTGCCAGAAAACAGAAAATCTCTAAGCAAAGCTGCTAATTATTCTTAATGGGCAAGATGAGCACATTAAGAAACAAATGAATACATCAGTGAAATGTAATTGAAAATCGACCCAGCAATCACACATCACATCTGAGTATTGGCCTGTATATTACTCTTGTCATTTAAAAAATTATTTTTGTTGTTCTTGGCATTTGAATTTAGTAACTCCAACTGAATCTTACTTCCTAGTCTCTTAGGCTTGTGACATTCTGGTTTTCACCTTTTTTCGAGAAACAAAAAAGTGTTTTCTACTCTTTCTATTTTATCTTATTATTTTTTTATTTTTACTATGTGAAGTATTGCGTAGATAAACACTGAATTTTAAATCATCAATGCATATCAAACAATTGTGAGAGTATTTATTATCTTTCTTAAAGTGTTTCCAGTGAATCGACTGTATTTCAGAGCTCCTTACCTTGACCCCAGACAGCTAGATGTTGATCTGAGATTTATGTAATCAGCAAATCTGAAAAGAAATTAAGATTTGAAGTATAAATGGATGTTGTAAGTCTTACTCTCAGGCTTATGCGTAGGTGTTGGGCTTTTTTTTTGGTTTTTGGTTTTTATTTTCTTGAGATTCTCCTTACTCCTTAAGCTTTACTACTGGGAGCATCGCAGAGCCCTCAAATGCACCATGTTATCAGTGCTCTGAGGAAACAAAGAGCAGATCTTGAAATAGGATCCTTTGGTTTGTCCACTTCTCAGATTTGCCCTAAAAATTGTAAAAAAACAGTAAAAATATTACCTCCCTTATTGATACTAAACATATTCCATAATTCATAATGGATAAAATTATACTACCCCAAAGTGAGTGGCCCCATGAGGTTTATTCACTAATTCACTCAGCTTCATCACCGTGCTTTGTCTCATGTTTAGTAAACATAAAGTATGTTGTCTGAAAAATATATCAATGCTTGGTGGCTCATTTCTTTGTGCTTCTGATACGGAGGGAATGCTGGTGACCTAGTGGGTAAGGAGGTATGCTGCCAACCCAAAGGTGCATGGTTCAAATCCCCTGGCTGCTCCCTGGGAGAAAGACAAGTATTCTCCTCTCCTGTATTTATATCCTTTGAAAACCAGTTCGAGGGTCAGCTATGAGTCAGTTCCGACTGGATGGCACAACCACTACTACTCTGAGACCAACTTTTGATTCCCATAGATCATGATGTAGAGCTCAGGATTCTCCAGACACACTGGTAAATGTCCTGTGCTTTTAAGATTTAACATTATCTTGATAGAACTTCTACTGGAGTAATCAATGACTTAAACTTCATGTGGACTGTACAGATTGTGCTGTGGATGGAACCATCTCTCCACTAGGTCACTCACCATTTTGTCTCCATGCACGTCCCCTAACAGAGACATCAGCTGTACTTCTGTCTAGTTGATGAACCCTAAGTGAACGCCAGCTGCCTCACACTGGGAGGAGCTCAACATACATCTTTGAAAGGTAATGCACATCATTTCAGGTGCTAAATATATCTTCCTTGTATCCATCCATGTACAGATACATCCATTAATAGACAAGACAAACACATGTCCTCCCCCGCACCCCCGTCCTCAAGGAGCTCACATTTTAGAGAGGGACTTTGTTGGCATCTGATAAAGTTCAGTCTTCTGACAGTTGTGAAAATGGTACTCTGGTGTGTATCTTCTAAGCCATTGAGTGTTGCTGATGTTATGTATCTTGGAGTTGGAACCAATGCTTACCTGACTCTACAGTGGGTTTTCAGAGGCTATAAATCATATAGGAAGAAACTGCCCATTTTTCTCCCATGGAGCAGCTGGTGGATTTGGACTGTGTACATTTGTATTGGAAGCACAATTCCTTATCATTAAGTCACCAGTGCTTCTATGCCATTGAGTAAGGAATAAAAAAAGGGATGGGAAAATCCTCTTTCCATCAAGTTGACTCTAACTTGGGCAGTCTCCTCCCATGCAATTAAACTGCTTTGAACTTGGGAGGGAGGGGATGGATGGGCAGGGAGAAAAGTGCAACAATGAATGAATGGAAATACAAAATCTCTGTAAATGTTCATTGAAATTAATAAAATAAAAATTTTTTTAAAAGCCAAGCAAACACAAACTGCCTCTGAAAACCCGCTGGAGGGTCAGTGATGGGTCAGATCCCACTCAGTGGAACATAATGCACGACAACGAGGACAGAGTAGAACTTCTTCATGAGGTCCCCAGGGCTGTAGTCTTTCTAGAAACAGGCTATCTCTCCCATGGTGTAGGTGGTGGTTTTGAACTGACAGTGTTTTGGCTAGCAGTTGCATGCTTAGGAACGGTGCTACCTAATCTCTTTGAGTGAGGAATAGAAGAGGCTGAGTGGGTACTGTATTTTTGTTTGCTGATTATTTAGTTACAGGGTGGTCAGATGCCAAAGACGATGTGATAAGTATCTTTTCAAGTGATGGAAAATAATAATAATAGTAATGTAGTTGTTGAGTACTGTCAAGTCGGAACCAATCCATAGCTGACCCTCCTGAGACTTCTCAGAAGTGGTAAGTCACCCAGGAGGAGACTGCCCGCCCTGCTCATGAAGCAGCTGGTGGATCGTGGCTTCGGCATTGCAATGCAGCTTCTTACTACTAGGCCGCCAGAACTCCCTATAGTTTATTGTAAAGTTTTGCGTGTAAAGTTGTTAAGTGTGCCTTCAAGAGGTTTTGTGCTTTCCAAGAGTAGAGCTATTTGGGAACTAAAAGTGTAGTCTAAGACACCTTTCTAAATTTGTAACTGAAGTCATTGGAAACACAGACTTTACCTCTGCAAGAGCACATAATAGATGTGAAAGACATTGGGAATCTCCAGGTTCTCAGAAGGCTTCTGATTCCTTCCAGATACTTAAGTCCTATTACATATAGATGTTAACGCAGTTCTGAGCAATGGTGAAAGAAAATAAATCATCCCTGCTCCACCACTGCACTCCATCAAAGCCTTTGCCTAGACAGTTGAAAAAAGGTAATAAATTGATAAAATTTAGGCCACCTGAAAGGTCGGTGGTTTGAATTCTGCAGTGGCTTTGTCTGAAAAGATCTTGCAATCTGCTCCTGTAAAGATTGTAGCCTCGCAAAACCTATGTGTCACCTCAACTCAACACCACCCGAAACCAACAAGGTAGGCCCATTGTGTGTGATGCACTATTAAGCCTTACAGCGACCCTCTAAGAGGTGCATTATTGTTCCTGCTTTAGAGATTTACCTCCAAGAAGTTAATTGGCTCAAGACTTGTCACACTACAAGAACCCAAACAGAAATTAGGTTAATTTGGCTTCGATATTTATGCTTTTCTCCCTCACCGAGCTATACTATTGTACCAAGAGATAGAATAATTTGGTTAATGTCATCTTTTATTTCCTCAGCACTCTCTGTAAGAAAAGGCCTGTTGTCCATGAATGGAGCGGTTGGTGTTAATGAGTGAAGTGTATAGTGTTGCTGTGTCTCTAAGTACATTTGAGTAATAAGCACATTTAAGAAGATTCTGTGAACTTAAATTGGTATGCTTTGCCACATTCTATTAGTAAATATTGCCACATCAAACATTTTCCAAAATGTATGGAGATCACATTGAATTTATTACCTTATAGTTTTATATTCACATTTTTCATATGACAACAAAAATGAAGATAACAAATGAAAATTTATGTTACGTTATGATTGTTTAAAAAGAATTTCTTAAAGTACAGTGCCAGTCATCAAAATGTATATGCACCTACTGCTAAATGTAACGATCACTAATTGCATAGGGAGGCTAATTTACTCTATTTTGTATATAAACATATTAAGATATCTAATAGAATGTGTGCTTAAATGACCATTGCTACAGTTTCAGTTTAACTGACAGTTACTATAACATAGCTTCAGTGCTTTGTACAACATAAATTACAGCATTAATAGTATTCTTAAGTATATATATTTGAAAATAAAATTCAACTGAAACAAAACTAACGTGGAGCCCCACTTCTGAGCCGTGCTTTATTTGAAAAGAAAATTTAGAACTAGAATCTTGGTTTCCTTTTAGCCACAAGCATACATACCCTGTAGCTCTCGAAATCTAGTTGCCCAGACAAGGGGATTGGAGGTGATTGCTCTGTCTCCATTTAATCAGAAATCATATTAAGGCTTTCTTTGCACCCGGCGCCTCCCACTGAAGTCTTCCAGAAGCTGGGTGCAGTTCACGGAACACGATTTGGTCTATGGTGTTGAATGAACACCATCTTGGAAATATTGACTCAGTTTTATTGCATTTCTTTTATTACCCTGAAGTGACACAGAAGAATGACAAAATCTATTATTGGACACAGTGCCAGCCAGAAGCACCACCTCAAAATCTGACCTAAAGGAAAGGGGAGGGAGCAGATAATCAGAATATATCTCTCAAAGTAATATTTTTAAAACACTGTTGCCATGTGGGTTTTTTTTTTTCCTTTTCACTTGTTTCAATATAAAAAAAAAAAAATCAGCAACCCACCTCTTAAACTACAAAATACATTTCTTACTCTATTCTAAAAATAAAGCAGCTAAATACTGCTGTGATTTTTTTTTCATAAAAAAATTACTTCTAGAATATAAATGCCTATGTTTGCTTCAGCCTGGCCACCTGGAGCCACAGGTTTATAAATTGTGTGAAAGTATATAGTGTTAAGATGTTTACTAAAAATTATTAATAGGTTTCCCGAGTTATATAATTTAACTTCCCTGTGACTATTTTATAAAAAGTACTACCTCCACTAACAAAATCATATGTTTTGTTTGGTAGATTAGTCATGTACTCACACGACGCTCCAGGTGTGCGCGCACATCGTGGTGTGCGGCCGGATGCCATGGAAACACAGGGCAGGGTGTGGCCAGAGCGCTGGGGGCGCGGAATGGGAAACAGTTGTCAGTTGACGCTATTAATTGTGTGTTCCTCAGAATAAAGACGTCAGCTGGCCTTTTCTGCAAGACATTCCATGTAGAAGACTTCCCTGGAAAACTTTTCTTCCTGAAATAGACAGAACTGTAGGCCGATTGTGTCATTTTAGTTAATCAAAACAAGGAGGCAAATTAGTCTCTTTTATTTTTGTAATGAATGTAATTTAGCAGTATTTAATTTGCATACAGGCAAGTTCACCCAGAAAAAAAAAAAAAGAGTCCACATTATAGCACTTTTGTAAACCTCAACAAAGCCCTTCATTAGGAAACCTAATTGATTTTTCCTCCCCACTCCTGGGGGTAGAAATCTATCACAGTACCTGCTTATTCACTCTGAGAAGAAATGGGTGTGCCTGGTGTTTCCAGCCGAGATCCGGGTTGAAAAGTCCTGTGGCTCCGTCCTTGCTGGGAGATCTTGGCCTATGCTTGCTCTGAGCGTTCCGGAAATCCGCTTTTCTGAGCAATAGGGGAACATCGCCTGTCTACTTGGTTCCTCCACATGGGCCCCATTTAGTTCAGCTTGCAGCCTTGACTAGAATGGTTTTATTTCTAGTTTATTTAAAGCTATCTTATTAAAAAGAGGGAGTTTGAGACTCCTTACAGTGATGCATAGTATAAGCCACATAATGAGAAAAGTCTATACCATCTAAATGATGAAATGAGAACAAGTGACCATTTGCAAGTCAGGAAAATGTGAAAGCAGGAATAGAGGCCAGGATAGAGAACCCATGCCATGAGGGCTTTGGGGGCTGTTAGGAGGCCATGCGCCTGTGTCTGAGTCACACAGGGTCCAAAGCAAAGATGGAAAAGGAGCAGTTAGAGTGTTGAGAAGTAAAAACAATTGGTCTGAAGCTCAGTTTTTCCTGGGCTCCAACTGGACATGATTTTTCCTAATAGAACCTTATAAAGATGGGAGTGTGTAAGGTAATGGAACAGCTCTTCAACAAACTCTCTTTAATAGATGCAATGCGGCTGTTTGATATAAAATTCTTTTAGGCCAAAGCTTAGGCCTAACCAGGTAGTCCTTCAAGGGGCCTTGCTTTCTTCAGTATTTCTTTTTCTCTGACGGATTCTTCAGACTTTTCTTCATCTTTCTCTTCTCACTTCTCCACACATCTGGCCCCATAGTTCAGCCCTACCTTCCCTACTAGCATTTTAGGCAAATGGAAAAATCCTTCCATTTAAAATGTCTCCAAAGACTTCCATTGGCCTCCCCACTGAATCAGGCCTCCTCTGGCCTCCTGGCTGCTTTACGTGAGTGGGCATAGTCCCTATGTTATAGTCGCATCCCCCTGCCAGTGTCCCCAGTGTTGGCCTGGGCTGATCCAGCTTCCAAGGTTACTGTTTGTAGTCTGTTTGGTGTTATTGTTGTTGTGGGTTTTGTTTTGTTAGGTTGTTTTGGTTTTGTTTGTTTTGTTTTGTTTCGTTTTTTCTGAAATAGGTGGCAATCACTGCAGAAGTTTCCTTAACCATGATGACTAGATGTCAGAGACATAATCACAAAGAATCAGAAGGCTGGTGTGTTTAAGACTCCGGAAATATCAAGCTGGTAAGATACATTTTTTTTGCATTCTACACACTTTTATGCTTAAAACGAACACTCTTGTATTTGAGATGACTATTTAAAAGAATAATAATAACTGCCCTTCGCTGTTGTTGTAATGTGCCCTCGATCAGGACTGGCTCAGCTGACCCTCCAGCAGATTTTCAGAGGTGGTGTATTGCGTGGGAGGAGTTGCCCATCTTTCTCTCGCAGAGCAGTGATGGGTTTCATTGTGATGGCAGGGCAGCTCCTTTCCACTAAGCCACCAGAGCGCCTGACCTGCAGTGAGCACTTACTATGTGCCAAGCACTCTTCTGAGTATTTCACAACCATCTCTCTTTTAATGCTCCAAAAACCCACATGTGGCAGATGCTTTCATTATCCTCAATTAGTAGATGGAAATAGAAGTTAAGTATTTTAAATGCTGAACTACAGATGATTTAGGGAGCCCTGGGGGCCTAGTGGCAAGAAGCTGTACTACAATCCCGAAGGTATGGGGTTCGAGGCCACCTGCCACTCTGTGAGAGAAGGATGGGCAGTCTCCTCCCATTGCGATTAACTGCCTCTGTAAACCGCTGGAGGGTCAGCTGTGAGTTGGATCCAGCTCGACAGTACACAACAACAACAACAACAGGAATGATTTAAGAATTTGTATTGTGCAATGTGATGAGGTTGGAAGAAGTCCAGCCTTGGATCTTGGGAATAACCCTATTCCAGTGGTTCTCAGCCAAGGGGACTTTTTGCAATATCTGGAGATGTGTTGGTTTTTACAGCGGCGGGAGGGTGGTGGTACTACTGACATGTAGTGGGTATAGGCCAGAGAAGCTACTCTACATCCTACAATGCACAGGGAACACCCCCCCACACACATCAATTATCTGACCTCAACTCCTGGTAGTGGGTAGTGCTGAGACTGAGACGCTCTGCTCCCTCCATGATTTGAATGTAGGCGGGGTATTCATTCCTTTGAGAGACTGTTCAGTTTATTCACTCTAGGAAAACTACTTAACCTTAGCTGAAACAATGATGTTTTCAGCAATGCTACATTTTTGCCCCAATGATATGGACATACCCAATTTTCATGTAAAATATCTATCTGTATATTTTTTCTTTTGTTATATAACCACAGACATTATTAGAATAAAAATTCACACTTTAATCCTTTTATTTGCTTACCACTGTTAATCTGCCATCCTTTAACATTTGGGATTTCCTCCATGTTTAGGTAGAACTCTCTCCCCTGACCCCTGTTATCCAGCTTAAGGAAGTAGGGAAGCAGATGAACAACTATAGTGCTTTAAAGCCATTGGAATCCTGGGAAGAGGCTATAGAATAACAATGGACCCCCCATTACTAGTGAGTGAATATAATGAAGCATCTATTATGCAGTCAGCCTCAGGTTACAAATGAGAGCTATTCTTAAGTGTATTTTTAAGTTAAGTTTGTAGATAATTTGGAGCAGGTGCATATGGTTATTATTTAACCTTACTTTAGTATAAGAAAAGGACTTGTGAAGTAATGTGATTAAGGCATTCATCTACTAAGCAGAAGGTTGGAGGTTCAAACCCACTCGCTGCTCCATAGGAGTTCAGTGAGGCATTTTCTTCATGTAAAGACATTTTGCCTTGGAAAAACCTAAGAGGCTCTTGTCCTGAAGTTCACTGCGAGTCAGAATTGAATGAGTGCCTGGGGGTTTGGTTATGGTTATGGGTTTGGTTATTGTTATGCAAGAAAAGAAGCCTTTTCGATAATTTGAAAGTTGCACATGCAGCAAGTGAAGCTGGCTGTGATGAAAAATTTGTGTTTTTCATTTGTCATTTCCAGATGAAGGCAAGTTCACAGAACATTAGAGGGCAAGTCTGAGTTGTCCATAAGTCGATGCTCATAACCTGGAACTGCGTAGGTGTCTTTTAAAATCCTGCATTTGAATATTCAGAGGAGGCTGATGGCACAGGGGGCAATTTGCTCTCTGTGTTTTTCACATAAATAAGCAAGCCAGTCCTACTTTCTAGCAAACCTTGAGCAGGTCTTTAGGAAAAGCCGGCTCTGCCCTCACCTATGTACTCTTCATCCCCAGGGCAGCCCTTACTCCACAGCGTAGACCCCCAGCCCCTTGTGCTAAGGACTGCCTTTTTTGGACATAATTTTCAAGCTAGTCTTTTAGTTATCAATCACAAGTGCATTCTCTATGTTGTCCTCATTTGCATTTATTTAATGCTTAAGGTCATTTGTGACCATTTGAGTGTATTTCAGCATATGGAATCAGAGAATAATAGATTTCAGCCTCACGCTGTGCAGAGAGATTGTGTTTTTACAAGACATAATGTTGTTTACTGGGTGTTAATAATCACTAATTAATAAACATATCTAGACTTCTAAAATGTTGCATTTTGAGGAATAAAAGTGTCAAGTGTTTAACTTATTGAGTGCAATAGTATTTTTCAGCATCTACGCATAAAGTAAGTTGCGTAAGAAAACAAAATGCCCTTGTTTAACACAGGGCATATCCAAAATGCTTAATGCATGGCCTTTGTTTCTGTATTTATATTATAAAAAATGTGATTTCTGAGCATATTGTTCTAATATGTACAGTTCACATAGTCGGTGTCAATCATCATATAAGAATCTTCAAGTTAAGGGGCTTTCCATCTGTAGCTCATTGCAATTACAGTTATGTTTTGTCCAAAGTCTACTAAAATGCTTGCCCACTACCCAGCTGGATGAGTCAGCCCTTTACATGGCCTTGATCTTACATTGAGAACTACTTGACCACTTTGCTTTAAGAAACTGAAAGGAAACTGTGACCTGGTAGTGTAGTAAGTAACTCCCCGGCTTATGAACATTTGATTTACAGATGTTGTGTTCTTACTCTTTAATGTTATGTGGATTTACCTTCACTTTGAAATGATGGAACCAACCCCTACTCAAAACAAGTTATTCCTCACAGTTACTGGCACTTGCTGTCCATACGGATTTAAAATGTGTCCCCTAAAAGTCACCTACTGCGCTCTGGCCAATTCTAACTCTTAGTGACCATATAGAACAGAGTAGAACTGCTCCATAAGGTTTCTGTAAGTCTTCACAGAAGGATGCTGCTTCACAATCTCCTGGAAAGCAGCTAGTGGGCTTGAAGTGTTAATCTTTCCATTAACGGTCCAGTACTTAGCCTAGAGTGCCACCATGACTCTTTTTTTTTCTGTCACCAAAGCAAGGCTTAAAAAAACAGGTCCGCCTGTTCTGAATTACCTACCAATTCAACTCAAAGGTCCCCTTGGGTACACGTTCATAACCTGTGAACTATCTAGTAATTTTCTTTCTTTCTACTGCTTTCTCATCCATAACCAGGACAAAGTGATGAAAGCATTAGCAATAAAATTAGGAATAAAAGGAAACTGCTCACAAAAGATCTATGAAAGAATTCAGTATTCTTTTCTCAGTGCCTCAATGCATATGCAGAGTTTCTCCTCCAAATTGGAAGTGTGGAGTAACAGCAGCAGCCGATAACTGGAAAGTATTTACCACAGCTACAAAGCCTACACGTGAGCCAAATAGTTCTGCTATTAAAAGCACTTCAAAGCTTGACATGAAGTTTATAACAGCTGAACGTCTCCCGTGACTTCATTTATGGAAAGGATGTAAAAGCAGAAAGTCGTGATGTGAAAACTGTGAACCTTGAAAATGATGCTTTTAAAAAAGAACAGGAGCTGCTCAGAATTCTGACTGGCACTCCCAAACTCCTGTTCTCACTGCTCTTGTAACAGCTTCTGTCACTCTCTGATTCCTCCTGCTGCCAGCCCTTTCTGCCTTTCAGGCAGGGCAGACTCGGGTTTGGTGGGACTTGAAGATTATTTGAGACCTTTTATAGAAAGACAACTCCAGTAGTACCTTGCCTTTGGCAAAACATGGGAAAATGGCATGTGGGCCCTGTGCTAAGGCTGTTTACTTGTGCAGGTGAGGAGACTTAATGCTCAGATGTCAGCTTCTCAGCAAAACCACCAGCCTTGCCAAGAATAACTCTCTTTCCTTCCATCTCAAACTTCCATGTGTCCTCTGATCCATTTTAATAATTCTGCCTATCGTTAGGTAGGGAAGGCATGTTTATGAAATCCTGGCACATATATATTCCATGCAGAATTCTATCCATCACATCCTAAAGGTCCTCACACAGTCTTTCTGTGGGACACTAGTTTGTCCATCCAGCCATCCATTTAACTAATGTGTCTAAGGTCCTATGCCTTTGAGAACATAAATCAAAGTTACCCAAGTAACTGTTGAACAAAGGAAACCAGGCTACTAAATATAGTCAGAGATTGGTGAAAGAGCAAGGATATTTACAGCATCTCAATTGCTGGGTTTATTTGAAGCTGTCTTCAAAATTGTGGCTTTCAAAGAAAGAATCATTTGAAGCTTTTGACGTCTACATAGTCCTAGGTCTTCCAGAATTAGTGAATGGCGTCATTCTTTGGTTACTAGTTAAAAGTTGCAGCGTTTGCTTTTTCTTTCAATCAATTACATTTTCCCTGCTGTTATGTTGAAAGTGAGTTTCTGCTTAAGAGTTCTTTGTGAGAAAATTACTAGTGACATTTAGACCTACGACTTTTACTATTATTTGATAAACTGTTAATTTTAGTAAACTATAAAATTTACTGTGGTCCCTGGGTGGTACCAACAGTTAACGTGCTTGGCTGCTAACTCAAAGGTTGCAAGTTGGAGTGGACACAGATGTACCTTGGAAGAAAAGCCTATTCTGATCTATTGCTGAAAGTAAACTGTTGAAATAAGCCTTGGACCACTGTGCTGCAGTGATGCATAGTGAGTTAGGTCACTGTGACTGAGGACCATCTCAGTGGCAGCTGGTTTCTGGAATTTGCTATCATTTTTAAAACCTTTTGTAAGCCAAATTTTGCTTTTAAATAGGCCCACAAGATTGTCTTTTGGTCCCCTTATTTTACTGGTTTTTGGAGCTTAAATTGAGGATATGCTAATATGATTAAAAAGTGTACCTC